GGCAGGGAGTGGAGGCGGTCAGGGGACAGGGAGGGGTGGATGGGCCAAGGGTCCCGGGGGGGGGCCGACAGGGAACAGATGTTTGATCAATGTAAATAATGCCTAATCCTCATACAACTACTTGAATAAAGACTATGATTAAGAGCTGAAGATTCAAATTCTTCCACTTGTCAGTTTCAAAGACATTTGTTGTAGCAAAGGCTTGTTCCTTACTGGAAAAGAAAGGACTTAGCCGTAATTAACATATTCCCCAGAAGAGGCTAACTGATTCTACCCTTGTGCAAAAACGCAGACTGACACAAGGTGCAGTGTTTTAATTACATCTAGTTTAGCTTTGCCTATTTATTCCCCGACATCCTGACATATGTCAATCAAATATATTCCCAGGAGCTCTATACAACACAGGTGCATAAAACTCTTCTGGATGATATATTTCGGGATAGAAGTCTCAAATGCTGTCTTCAGTGGACAACACATGCACCTCCTGTTTGGAGCAGAGAGAGAGAGGGGATGAGTGGAAAGTAAAAATAGTTTGCTATATTCTCCCAAGAATTAGAGTTGGGATCCAACTGTGTTTTGAGCACAAATTTTGGGAGTCCTAAATAGAGCTTCTTACATTAGGACAAGCTCAGCCCGAGACCTGAACAAGCCTATTTCTTCCATTAATAAGTTAAATACATCAAAGCTCTCTAGGCTTAGTAAAGCCAGAGGAGAATTTCATTAAAGTGACTTGCTGTTGCTTTCAAAGATGCCCACTTCCTGCTTCAACTGGGTAGGAAAGAGGGCTGGGGGACATGAGCCAAACTGATCTTCATTCCTCCTTCCACTCTGCCCATTCTGAGATACAGGCTAGGAACGATTTCAACATTAAAACCATCTTTTCTCATTGCTCACCGTGTCTATGTACAGCACCATGCACAATGGCAGCCACAACTGAGCCTCTCGAGGTCCCTTGCAGGCCTATGATTAATCCAGCACTCGCACAACAGAGCAAGAGTGGCCAGCCTCTGGGATACAGGACAGGAGCACGAGGCAGGTTGTACAGCTGCCAGACAAGTGGCTCTGAACCAGGGAGATAAACACACTCTCCAGTGTTGTTAAGGCAGCGCCTTTCCTCAGCACACAGGTACAGTGTGAACAAATTCAAGAGCAAATTCCTGCTTCCATTTCCACAGTGAAGTGGGAGCCTCTCCAATCAGCAGTAGCAGGCATATAGTCGATGACTTTAACTAAGCTCTTAGGCACAGAGGTTTAAGGAGCCTTTTGTTTTCCCTTTAAACAACAGAGGAGAGCTTGCTCAGTTCTCACTCGGCAGCTTTGGCCAAGAATTAAAACGTCCACAGCGCTAAATCTTCCTGCTATATTTCTGTTCCAGGGCACCTAGGGAGGCAGACAAGCTCAAAGGCGGTGTGCAGAGGATGAAGTTTTCAAAGACAAATCCAGGATACACTATTGCAGGTAGGTAGGAGATCGGGAAAGTGAATGGGGAGGGTTTTGACACACTGAAAAGAAGGTGAAAGAACACCACCTCCTCTTCCCTCTGCTCCACAGCACGGCCACAAGCACCTTTGCAGCAGGTTCGGAAGTTGGGAACACAGTTTTTTTGTAAACCCATCCAGGAAGCTAGGATGGCACTCACACGCCTGGAGATTCCTAGCTTTCTGGGCCATCTGATTACACGTGGGTGGGGAGACTCAGCCAGCCTGCTGTCTATTTGATGGGCAGTGCAAGGGGTTACTGAACAGAGACAAACCAGCAGAGATACTGGAACCAGCTCTGAAAACAGACATGAGGCCCCATTGATTATACAGGCTCCCTCACGTTCCCATCCAGCCACCTTGACTCTCTAATGAAACAAAACCCCCAGGATAACCTAGAATAGGTCCATATCTCCCCGTCTTTCCTTGAATGGGTCAGCCAAACACCCTGAGCGCTCCCACTAATTCAGAGGGGGCTTGTCATCCATTAATATCAACCCACTTCGGTCTCACTGCTCAGAATAGCCAGAGAGGCAACGTGACTGCCAAAGGTCACGCAGCGAGTCAGTAGCTGGGCTGGGAGACCTGTTCCCTATGCACTATTGAAAACCTGTGCTGTTGTGATGTCTGCCATCTTGGCCAGCTCTGGAGACTGAGAACTGAAAGCACAAGTCCCTACAGCTTGAGCTAAAGAGCCAGGCGCTGTAGCTAGTGGCAGTAGCAGCTTTGCATGCCGTGTAGGTCAGGGTACATGAAGCACTCACTGACCTGTGGGTTACGCGGTCTCCACTGTTTATATAACCCAAGGCAAGCTCCTATGCTAATGCACCATTGAGGCGCAGAATTTAAATGAGCCAGGGTATTTAGAGTTAAGGGTGCACATATCAGCCCACATATACCATTGGCCCACTCCTTCCTGCCACACATGCAACCCAACTATGGCCACATTAACCTTAACTCTGCTCTCTTCCTCTATACTCCCACCCATCTTGCTCAAAGGAGCTGGAGAGGGCAGCATGGGCTGCCAGACCAACCTTTTCTCTGCCCTCTTATATATGTTCCTATGATGGTCACCCACTATAGTTGCACAGGGCACTCGTCCCTAACAAGCCATCAGCTCACACAGGCTCAGCTAATTCATAAATCCACTTCACACACGTCAGTATGATCAATGAAAGTGCAAATTAAAACTAAGTATAACTAATAAGATTATTGAAAGTTCATTGCCTTTTTTTCTAAATGACAAACAAACAAACAAAAACCCCAACACAACTTCCCTTTTTAAAATGGGATTGTAAGTATAATTCTATTAGGAGGAGCCCTGAGCAGAAGATAGAATAGCTCTGTCAGTATCAAATGATCCTACCTTGGCTGCCATTCATCAGTCAATCAAATGGACACCAGTGGGCATCTAAACAGCTCTGAGACATCCGGAGACATTATGTCAAGGGATTGATGGTGGACTGACGATGGGCAAGTGTGCTGGAAAAAGAGCATCAGCATCATACTTTGCCTTTTAGGTATCTTCCTTCCTTTTTCTTGTTTTAATATGCTTTGACATTTAAAACAAGTTTTCAACTTGTCATATGGTTTTTTCCTCCCTTTTAAATTATGCATTTAAAAAAATTAAGAACATAAGAACAGCCATATTGGGTCAGACCAAAGGTCCATCTTCCGACAGTGCCCAATGCCAGGTGCTCCAGGGGCAATGAACAGAACAGGTAATCATCAAGTGATTCATCCCCTGTCGCCCATTCCCAGCTTCTAGCAAACAGAGGCTAGGGACGCCATCCCTGCCTATCCTGGCTAATACCCATTGATGGACCTATCCTCCATGAAGTTATCTAATTCTTTTTTGAATTCTGTTATAGTCTTGGCCTTCACAACATCCCCTGGCAAGGAGTTCCACAGGTTGATTGTGCATCGTGTGAAAAAATACTTCCTTGTGTTTGTTTTAAACCTGCTGCCTATTAATTTCTTGTGTTATGAGGAGTAGTAAATAACACTTCCTTATTTACTTTCTCCACACCGGTCGTGATTTTATAGACCTCTATCAAATTCAGCTCCGCTCTACGGAAATAAAAGAAATTCATCCACCACACTAGGATAAATCAGAAACAAATCTTTGGGAGCCAGACCTCACTATCAGTTCAGTTTATCCTCAGGGCTTTGTCACTGGCTACAATGAGAGCAGGTTTGTCCTTTAGTCCTTGCCTACCATGCCAGTTTCCTTGGAATTTCCCATTGTTGAACTAGCCTCATTGTAACTCCACCAGTGGCACCACTAGTGTAGATAGGGCATGTCTCAGTGACATGGCGGTAAAGTCACCAATGGTCGGTCTGTGCCGGCATTCTCACCATTGTCAGTCCTAGTGTAATGGTGAGAGGCATTCAGAATAGTCAGTCCTAGTGTAATGGTGAGAGGCATTCAGAATAAGGTCACAGACATTGTCCATTTTGAAAAGCCTCTATGAGATGGGTCCCAAATGTTTAGGGATCATGGATGTAAATCCAGCCCCAACAGCCTTAAGCCTTAAGGTCACATAAGTCCAGGAGGCCCTACAGGAGCTGTTTTGCTACAGGGGGGAATAGTCATGCTGGAAGGGGTATCAATGGCATGATGGCGCAGAGCTTATGCCAGAGGTGGTGATTGAATATGTGTTCACACACATCATCCAAACTGTGCTTATTTGAACTCTAAACCAGGGCAGTCCCTGTTCCAGGGGAAAAGCTTGTACTTGGCTAAAAGCCACGTTGCTTTACTAGGTTTTTAAAGAGCTTCCTCCTTGCAATGCTGACTTCTTGCCAAATGAAAATTATTTCTGGATTGCAATTGTCAGAACTAAAAGAATTCGTCTCCAGCCTATCTGTGCTTCAGAAACGCATTATCATGGTTTAAGGCAGCGCTCCTGTAAGCAACAGCTTGGAGGGCTTGGAGGAGACCAGCAGTTGCACAGACATCAGAAATTTACACTGAAATAGTCATCAAGCAGCATTCTTGTTTTTCAAGAGCAGAGGAAGTAATTTCATTGTCCAACAAAGCAACATCCAACGAAAGTGAACGTTATATTACATACATCTGCATGATGGAGTGAAGGTCAGAGGGGTCCACCCTCTGGCGAGCTCCTTCAGGAAGGAACTGAAAATAGTATTTTACATTTCTAGTATGGGTTTCATTCCGAAGGATCCCAAAGCACTTTGCAAACTTTGGGACAAATTCTGAACAAAGCGCACATAGATCATACCTACGCTGGAGAACTGAACCACTGGGCATTGAACCAGTAGGACTGCACCAGTGCGAGTAACAGTTGTGCAGTGTGTCTTCACTAGCCATGCTGTTTCACTTACAGTTTTGTCCTACATCCACACATGTGCGGCATTACACCATTGCGGTCATGTTGCCCTCAAGGTACTTATCCCACAAGTCCCTGAAGAAGGGGGTTGTGGGAATTTCAAAAGGCCTTCTGGAAAAAGAGGTCAAATTCCCACAATATCCTGTGGAAATACACATAATTCCCTGGGAAACTCCCATAAGTCCTGTAGGAAATCACCAAAACAGATACCATTTCTTCTTCTTCCTTTTGTCAAAATGGAAGTCATGATAAATGGCTCACTCCTTGCTCATCAAAAAAGGTGTTTGCTAAAGCTTTTGAAAAGCAGTCACAAGCATTGAAAGGAGGCTGAAGGGAGGAAGTGGAGGTTGTTCTGGCAGCACTGATGGTGAGCCAGAAACACAAACCAGCAGTTGATGGAGTTTCCATTTCAGGAAGCAACACACTGTCTAGACTGGACACTGACGGTCGGAAATATAACTAAATATGTAGACCCACCACAGTATGGCAGATGATTTTTTATTACACCCTATCACAAGATTAAACACAAGAACTAGGGGTCACCAAATGAAATTAATAGGCAGCAGGTTTAAAACAAATAAAAGGAAGTATTTTTTCACACAACACACAGTCAACCTGTAGAACTCCTTGCCAGAGGATGTTGTGAAGGCAAGATCATAACAAGGTTCAAAAAAGAACTAGATAAGTTCATGGAGGATAGGTCCATCAATGACTATTACCCAGGATGGGCAGGGATGGTGTCCCTAGCCTCTGTTTGCCAGAAGCTGGGAATGGGCGACAGGGGATGGATCACTTGATGATTCCCTGTTCTGTTCATTCCCTCTGGGGCACCTGGCACTGGCCACTGTCGGAAGACAGGATACTGGGCTAGATGGACCTTTGGTCTGACCCAGTAGTGCCATTCTTATGTTATAAGATATGTTGGGGTTTCTGCTATTAAAAGAATGCAAACAAACCCCAAAACCATAAGAGGACAGTCAAGACAACCTTCATCTCAATCTTCTGGAATTTTCTTGCCAGTTTGATTTCCAGGAATAGATTTGAAATGGAACTTCTAGAAGTCAGCTGCAATTATGCCGATAACAAGCCGCTGCTTTTTGGACTTTGACACAAGTTCTGCTTGAAAAGCTGCCAACTGACTTAAAACCCTACCATGGAGACATTCCTGCTGCTCTGAACATGATGTGCAGGACTAATAAAGCCTGGGTTCCGTGTATTCAGATGACTCCATGGCTGCTCTAACATATGAAGAGTGACATGGTTAGCAAACATTGCTTGATTTGCACCTCAGGGAGAAGACTGGAAGCTATACTACTCTGTTCAGGCCCAGATCACATAGAAAGGGTCAAGCTATGGTCCAGTCAGATCTCTCAAAAAGCATTCATGAGAATGAATCACAGCTCCAATGGCACAATGATCACCAATGAGCTCTGGGGGCAGGGTTGAGCAAAAGTGAGCACTGGTAACTTGAATCTTTTTCTCAGCCAAAGTGGGGAAGGGCCAGCAGACAAATTCTGCTGCCCATACTTCAGTGGGAGAGCGTCGCGTGTTTTCAGCAGGAAAGTTGTGCATGTGTCAGGGAATATCCTTTAAATCTATTCCATTCAGATTCCCATCCCAAACTCCCCAGGATGGTATGTGAGCCCCTTTGACATACTGGAAGCTGAGAAGTCGGACTATGATGACTTAGTGCTGATCTCTTTCTGGGATCTGAGATCTATTAGACTGTGGAACAGTCGCTCAAGGGAAGCGATAGAAGCCCTTTTGCTCGTAACATTTCAAACCAGCTACACAAAAGCAATGGAGAATATGCTGAAGGGAACAACCCTCCACTAGCCAAGCGGAGGATGGATTAGGTAACCTCAGACTTTGTTTTTAGAACTAATTTTCCGTGACTAGTACTGGAGGAGACCTATCAGGTCACCCACTATTAGGGCTACCATATGTCCGGATTTCCCCGGACATGTCCGGCTTTTCAGTCTATAAATAGCCGTCCGGGGGGGATTTTTAAAAAATCTAAAAATGTCCGGGATTTCCCCCTGGTCGGCTATTTATAGATAGAAAAGCGGCGGCCAAGCGCCGCTGGGCACCCAAAGCCCCTTCCCGGCTCCCCCCATCCCCTGCAGCCTTACCATGCTGTCCGGCCCGCAGCTGTCTTCCCCCTCCTCCCCTCCCCTGAACACTCCGCCCCCCTGCTCCTCCCCCTCCCCTGCTTCCCA